CTATAAAACGCAATTTTTTATAGTTTTTGAAAGCAAACGATAATATTATTTTAAATTTTTAAATAAAATTTTAATTTAAAAAATTAAACGCTTTTTTGCCATGTAACCATTTCTCAAAAGTATGCATTATGTTAGACAAAAGTAAATTTTCTCAAACATTATATAAATATACTTGAAAAGGATTAACGTTTTATTTGTAGTTGTCATAATCGTAGTCAATTAGAGTATTCCGTGCCCATTTTTGTTGACCAGTGAAATTATTCAGTTATTCTTGACTAATGAATAAAGGATACTGAATAAGGAATAATGAATGATTTATTCTTTATTCAAAATATTTCTGACTAATGAATAAATCTTTATTCATCATTCATTATTCAGATTTTGAATAATTATTCATCATTCTTTATTCATTATTCTGAATGACAAATGCCCATCTCTGTCTTTTAGTACTTGAACAGCACCATTATGCAAAATTATTTTCTTAATGTTTATTTTTTTGCTTTAAAATGTATTGTTTACTATTATTGTTATTACTTGTTTTGTTATTGTTTGTTTTAGATCTATGTATTCTTCTAACTTAAAATTATAACAGTTTAAGTTCGTTTCGTTTCGGCGAAAAAACCCTTCATTAATAATTATAAATAAGTGCACAACTTTATTTTGGTAACATTGCTTATTTGATTTATTATCAATCAAAAGCACCAGTTTTTTAAATGTTAGGATATGTTGCACTTATCATTTTAGCAATAAATTCACCACGATACCACAGACGAAGATGTTAAGAGACAAAAATTAAAATCCACACTCACTTGAGCAATATGAATTTATTTACGCGCATTTGATTTATTATCAATTAAAAGCACCATTTTTTTAATGTTAGGATATGTTGTACTAATCATTTTAATAATAAATTCACCACGATACCAGACGAACATGTTAGAGACAAAAATTAAATCCACTTTCACTAAAGCAATATGAATTTATTTTGCATAGTGTCCTGATTTAAACGATTATTTTGCATAATGTCCTGATAGTACGATTTTAAATCTCGAAATACTTAATTAAAAAGGCAGACCAGCTCGTCACCAGAGGCAGGCTAGTATGTAATAAAATAAATACATCTTTATAAATCAACACCACTAAAATTCCTTATCAACACTAGAGATTTTTCATAATCACTAAAAAGAATCTCAAAAATCAAGTATCATTTTTCAACACATTAAATTTTTTTGCACTAAATATAAATTAAAGCAAAATAAACGTTCGTTTATTAACTCAAAATATCAAACAAAAGTAAACTCACCGTGTATATGCGTAGCTGTCGCCAAATAGAAAGACTACAGCGCCACAACTTTACACGTGACGCCAACGGATGTGACGTAACAATGATTAAATTAGAAAAAATTTCCCCAAGTCGTTATTACGCCTAACTTACGTCCAAGGTTTTCTTTCAGCCGTGTTAACACTTGAATACGATTGAATTTGATTACAATAAAATAAACTTTATTGACAAATGTAAACGTTTACTTTGTAGGCGTACGCTTTACTCCGAATCAGTGGCGAAATAAAAATCAAATGAATGCCATAGCGAGTGAGTTGGAAGGGGGGGGGGAGTAGAGGTAAAAACCGGTACGTGAAATATTTTGTCTCCGTCTGTTGTGAGCCTGAATAAATAAAAATTGTTCGATAACATTTGGAACGTAGCAGTTTTTAAGAAAATAATTTTTTTAATAATAATTTATAGTCAACATTGAAAATTTTATTTTTTTTCTTCTTCTTAAAAACTTTTACGAATTCTCAAACAATATATTTTCATGTAATCTAGTTTTTCTCATACAATTTAAGGTTCTTTTAAGAGCATAAAATGGTTTTCAAATAAACTTAGGCTATGAAGTAAAGTTTATAATTTTTCAAGCGTTGTTTTCAAGTTCTAAAAAATATCATAATAAAAAAATTATAATAATAATAAAAAATAAAAAACTGGAAAAGTTGCTTTTTTTTTTTATTTGTCTTTTTAGTTATTATAATTTCGAAGTACCTTTTCTTCTTAACAATACGAAGAACGAAAAGTAAATTAAACTATAAAAAGACAAAAGTTTTCCCCATTTTGAATACATTTTCAAACCATTCCAACACAAAAATCATATCGTAAAAATTAGTCTTTCTAATAAAAATGAAGCACTTTCTGTTACATAAATAATAAATCTTAGTTTTAATATAAATCTTAATTCAAAATAAATCTTAATTTAAAAATAATTCTATCACATGTAAAATATTGTTTTATTAACTTTATTTCTAAAAGACTTCTGACACTAAAAGCATAAAACAGGAAAATGAAGAAATTTTATTCCGTTTAGAATATCATTCCTGTAAATTATTAATAACGACTTATTAAACGGAGCACTTAAGTTTTTCTGCTTAACTTAGCTTATTTCATTTTTAGTGAAACTTTTTTCACCAAATTTGCTACAAACAAAAGGAGGGATAAAAATAAAATTCGGGGGATAAAAATAAAAAATAGAGAAAAAAATTCTATAAGGTTTAAAAATAATTTTGATTCTTTAAGATTTGTAGATTTACAAACCTGTTAATTTCGTAGAATTTAATTTTCCTCATAAAATTTTTTATTATTTATTTTTTTCAGATGCATAAGAAATTTTCGAAAAATATTTAATTAAAAAAAGTTAACTTTATATACATAACTTTACAAATATTGTTCGGGTAAGCTATTAATAATAAAAAAAAATAGAAGATTCAATTTTGTCTGCTTGTCTTTTAATTATTCATATTTTGTTTTAATTTTTTCACCAACAATGCTAAAAATGGATAATATTGAAAAAACTCCTTACGATTTTTATTTTTTAAAAGAAAACAAAAAGCAGTCAATAAGACATTGATGAATGTGGGAAGGATTGGTGTTTCATTTGTGTGACCAAACTATTACATCATGCTTAAATTTGAAACACGTTTTTCTCGAAACTTTATTTTCCATGCAAATTCAATCAATGACAAATAATATTTGTATATTGTGTGACAATAAAAAAAAATAATTTTGTCTTCCTTCTTATTCGCGTGATCGACCAATGTTTGTTTCCAAAGACTTGGAGAACCCTTAAAATTTCCTGTTGATTTGACAACATCTAAAAAGCAATTACTATTTAAAAAATTTAAATTTAATTAATGTATATTAATTAAATATAAAATAAAAATAAATATTAGATTTAGTTAAATTAAGTTTTTATTTTAGATTTAATTTCTATTTTTGAAAAATAAAACAATCATCACTTGTTTAAAATATCAATTAACTGATAATTTAAGTTTTAGTTGAAAATTTGTTTGAAAAAGAAATAATTCTCAGAATATGTTAAATTAAACAGAAGGTATCTAATCACAACATTTATTTAACTTTTTAATTTAAGATTTATCTTAAAAAGTAGCATTTAGTATTTTTATGAACAAAAATGGACAAAAAAAAAGCGCGAAAATACTCAAAAATACGTTGGGGCTTATTTATTTTTGCAAAATCATCATTATGTGTTCAGCGAACAAATACATATTTACTTTTTAATTAAAATTTGTTGCAAAAAACAATGAAAATAAAAATAAGAATTAAAAATGAGTAATAAAAGAATAACAATGAAATATCTTTTTGATTTCGTTATTCGTACTCGTTTTGGTAATCTTTTGATGCAGAATTTTTTTTTGAATATATTTTCCTTAATTTTTTTTTTATTTTCTATTAATTTAGGTTCAAATAATTGAAAATATTATATTTAGCATTTTAATAATTTATAATTATGAAATACAGCATGAAACAGCCTAATTAATTTGTGTAAAAAGTGAAATCGTCCTAACACAGCTCACTTTCAACAAAAATTTTTAAAATTGCACTTATTTACAATTATTTAGATTCAAAAGAAGCAGTTATTCACAGCTAAAATTTTTTAAATTTACCAAAAAATCAATCATTGATACATTTTTGAGCATCAATGAAAAAAAAACTTTTTTTAACTACTTCTTTTGGATTTTATATTTCAGCACAAATATTATATCCATAATCTAATAGAATATTTTGGTAATTATTAGACTGTTTTTTTATAATTAAAAAATACCAAAATATTTTTCATTGTTATTAGAGAGCCAGAAAAAAAATATAAAACGGTCACCTGCGTTCCATCTGCGTCGAAGGGTTAATAAGTTTAGTTTGCTGGCGTGAATATAATTTAATGATTGGCCTATTAACGGTAAAAGGAAATACAATCTGTCTTGTTATTAAAACATCCTACTGCTGGTCATTCTTGAGCAAAATAGAAACTTTCCTCCCAGTGATTTAATTCAAAAGTAAAATTAACTGGGATGAAAAATTTCTACTCTACTCCAAGACTTTATTCTTGATGATTTCGTTTGACTCTATCAGTTTCAACACTGTTTGCATGGACAGTATCTGAGTTTGAATCACGATCTTTTCAGGTTCTGCAAAAAACTGTAAAAAGAAACACCGTAATGATGCTGGATATCATGCTGTAAACTGATCTGTAAGGAAAGTCTGTTGCCTAATTGTCATGAAAAAATATGCATATAATTATTCAAATAGAAAAAAATGAAATCTTTTAATTTAATATTACATTTATATTTTATATAATTCCTTTCACTGTAAATTTATTCATTTAAAATAATTCAGTTATCTCATTTGAGCTTAAACTATTGGTTCTATGATAGATATTTTTTTTACAGCATTATTCATTTACATAAATATTTGAAACCGATAAAAACCAAGGATAAAAAGTTTGCGAAATATTTACAGCTTCAAAAAAATATCTAGTGCTAAATTTCCACCATAAACTCATTTTAAATTTCTAAAGTTAATATTAAATGAGAGTTATAACCTTGACGATAGTTAATGACGATCTAGTTAATTCATAGATTCCTTACTAATTCCTTGTCAAATATTGTACAACTTTCAATTATAATTACTCTTTATGATTTGATACAGAAAGCGTGTGCACTGTAAGGCAAATATATTCTGATTGAATAGACGATACTTGTGACCATTCTCGTCTGCCGAAAATTGGAAGCCTCCATTTAAACATAAATAATTGCTATTAAACTTTACCTCAACTTTTCTTATTATAATATTATTAAATACATTTATTTCAACATTGATTTTTTAAAAAAAATAACTCTTTGTTTTTATTCTCATTAAATTCACTGTAAAAAATAACTGTTAATTCTGCAGGAAAAAAGGCATATTTTTTTTACAGAAAATTAAAAAAAAAATTAATATAGATTACCCTTGCGCTACAAAAAGAATCTCGTTTTTTTCTCATATTTGACGATTTAAAGCTGCTTCTTTTTTTTAAAAAAAAAAGTTATTTTTCCCCTAATCATAAACGGATTGAAGCTGTCAATTTATATTCTAGTTTTTGCCATGCAGTTTTGCAAATTGTAAGATAACTTTTTGTTCATTAAAATCATTTTACGATTATTTTCTATACTTTCTCTCACTTTTCAGGAATTATTCCGTGGTTTTGAACATCGCATAAATAAAAGTGTGATTCGACCACTGTAAAAAATAACAAACAATGTAAAAAATAACCTTAAATTCAACAAAAAAAGAAAGACTTACTTTATAAATACTTACATAGAGTTTCTTTATAAATACTTACAAAATATCCGTCCGTTGCAAAAAAAAAATTCCGTTTTTTTCCCTTTTTTTGCAGATTTTCTCCCTTATTTGACGGTTTAAAATTGTTTTTAACAAAACAGTTTTATCTGTTTTTTTTACCTTAAGTATAAGCAGATTAAAACTGTCAATTCAAATTCTAGCTTTTGCCTTGCATTTCTGTTAACCTTAAAATAACTTTATATTTATTCAAATCATTTATGATTATTATTGATACTCTATCTAATTATTATCTGTCTTCAGTTATAATTTTCTGTTAAGTTAAACTGCCAGAAATTTTTAAAAGAGTGGGCCAATGAATTTTTAAACTTTTTTACACTTAATTATGATTTAAATAAGTAAAACCTTTAAGCTTAAGACTATTTAAGAATTTCCTTCATAATCAAATACTAGACCTGCTGTGACTCAGTGGACGGAGTGCTTGCCCGATTCGAATCTCGGTGTTGCCTGGTCATGAGAACTCTGCTCTTGGCTCGCCCACACCACAATGCTCTCATAGTCATTTTTATTAAAAAAATTTTGGTTAAAATATTATTTCTAAAATAACAGTACTTATCTGCGTAAACTGGTGCCCGTTCTTAAATAACAGTATTTTTCTGTGAAATAAACTGTTCTATTCTGGCACACCTGCAAATTTAACAGATCTTTTTCATAGTCTTCGCATTGCTTACAAGATGGCTTAAATAGTCGAGATACACAAGTACCGAATAGACTATACAGTCGTATCATCTTCATAAATTAAATTTCTACATCAAAGCTAGGTACTTCAAATCTTAAGTATAAATTAAAATTCTTTCCAGCTTGAACCGTCAACTACTAAAAACTCAATTAATTTAATACCAACACCATCTAATGAATAGCAACTGTAAATTAACTTGAGCATCACTATAAACACAATTTTCAATAGAAATTCATAAATTTATATACATACAAAATAATCTATT